CATGCGGGCCGAGCCCCGCCCCCCGGCCCGAGCCTGCCGCGCGCTGCCCGCGCCCGCCGCCTTCCCGCACCATGCTCAAGTGCATCCCGCTCTGGCGCTGCAACCGGCACGTGGAGTCGGTGGATAAGCGGCACTGCTCGCTGCAGGCGGTGCCCGAGGAGATCTATCGCTACAGCCGCAGCCTGGAGGAGCTGCTGCTGGACGCCAACCAGCTGCGCGAGCTGCCCAAGGTGAACGGCCGCCGCACCTGCCGCCCCTCCCCGGCCCTCTCGGTTCGCGGCGGGGTCCGACCGCAGGCATGGCCGGCTGGAGCAAGACCTCAGCCGGCGCTGCCCGGGCGCGTACCGCAGCCTTCAGCCGGCCGTGCTGGTTCCTACTGTCCAGAGCCCCGCCCCAGCCAGCCCCACCCTCCCCCAGCCGCCTGCGTTGGCACCAGGTGGCAGCGGTCATCCGGAGCCTGTCTGGGGACGGAGTGGATACCGAGCCTAGGGCAGGCGACAACAGCCCGGGAGGGCGCAGGAGGTGGATGGCACTGGGATAGAAGGTGGACTTGGGTGGCAGTGGTTACAGGCGGCTGGGCTGGTTTAGAGGTGAAGGGTTTCTCCCTACCATGCTTTTTTTTCTTGCGTGCAGGGTTGTATGGGACCCTTCTAAGGTGCCTGGGGTGTCAGACCTGTTCTCTTCTCTCTCTGAGGGGGCCCACCTCTCACTGCCTGTGTTCCTTCCGGTCAGTTTGTTTTGTTTTGTTTTCTTCTGGCCACTCCAGAAAGAACGCCAGAGGAAGCAGGTTATGAAAGATTTTTTTTCTGAGATTCGGAGTCCTGAGTGGGCCGATAAGGGTTGAGTGACACAGTGTGGTCCCACTCTGGGCCTGTTTGTGACAGCTCTGTCCTTGTGGTGTCTTCAATACACATTCTGAAATCCCTGCACAGAGCTCTGTTCTCTGGTCGTCTAACTCTTCTCTTGACTTGAGCTCTCACACTCTCTGCTGGGGTGCAGTAGCAGAAACCCCTGCAGGCCCCTGAAGAGCTCATCTTTGGTGTAGTTCAGGTAGTGGGCAGAACCAGGGATGACCGACGGAGCTGAGTGCAGGGCCTTGTCAGGAGCCGATAATTTCTCAGGTGGGGCTGGTCATCTGGGAGGCCAAATGATGTGTGTATGACAGGTGGCATAAGACAAGGCATCGAGTGGGTAGGGTTGTGTCTTCGTGTTTCCTTACCTGTCTTCTAGCAAACTGGTTATCATGGCTACACCTCAGAACCCTGTGTGACCTGGAATACACAGAAGTTTAGTGATCTGTGGCCATGACCCTGCTGGTGCAGGAACTCTTCTCCGTCCTCAGGGTTTCAGTATAGAAACCATTCCCCTGATCACACCTTCTACTCTCCACAGCCCTTCTTCCGCCTACTGAACCTGCGAAAGCTGGGCCTCAGTGACAACGAAATCCAACGGCTGCCTCCTGAAGTGGCTAATTTCATGCAGCTGGTGGAACTGGATGTGTCCCGGAATGGTGGGCAGGCTGGAAGGGGAGGGGCAGGAGGCACTGACAACACAGAGATAGGGCAGAGCGCGAGGGGGGGCGTCCCAAGAGGTCCTCCTGAGGCTGTGGGCCCCTCCACCATAACTCCCTCCACACAGATATTCCTGAGATACCTGAGAGCATCAAGTTCTGTAAAGCTCTGGAGATCGCAGACTTCAGTGGGAACCCCTTGTCCAGGTGGGTGAACCTGGCTGTGGGAGTTGGCTTTGGGCTGTGGAGGGTTCTGTAGCCTTTCTCTAGACTTCTGAGCTCTGCTGCCTCCTTTTCCCAGACTTCCTGATGGCTTCACACAGCTGCGGAGCCTTGCTCACCTGGCCCTGAATGATGTGTCCTTGCAGGCGCTGCCTGGAGATGTGGGCAAGTGAGTCCCCTTGGTGAATAGGTCTGGGGTGGGTTCAGCTTGGCCCTGCCTCCCTCAGCTTTGACTCTTGGTGTTTTTTAGCCTGGCCAACTTGGTGACCCTGGAGCTCCGGGAAAACCTGCTTAAGTCTCTGCCTGCGTAAGTTTGGGGCCTCCACCCAGGCAGTGGAAGAGCTGTGCCAGGGCTTAGGCTGAATGGCCACACCAAAACTTTTTCTTCTGCAGGTCCCTGTCTTTCCTGGTCAAGCTGGAACAGCTGGATCTGGGTGGCAATGATCTGGAAGTCCTGGTGCAGTGAGGGCTGCCTGGGGCAGGACAGGTGGGGCACTTGTTACCAGTAGGTGTCACACTGGTTTCTCCTCTCTCTCTCTGTCTCTTCCTATAGCCCGACACTCTGGGGGCTCTGCCCAACTTGCGGGAACTGTGGCTAGATCGGAACCAACTGTCAGCACTGCCCCCGGTAAGTGAAGGAGGGACTAGCTTCATCCCTCCAGCTTCTACCTTCTAACCCCTTACCTGATCTCAGGAACTTGGGAATCTGCGGAGGCTGGTCTGCCTGGATGTGTCTGAGAACCGGCTAGAGGAGCTGCCTGTGGAGTTAGGTGGGCTGGTGCTTCTCACAGACCTGCTGCTTTCCCAGAACTTGCTTCAGCGGCTGCCAGACGGCATCGGTCAGTGTGCCCAAAGGGCTTGGGGGACTCTGATCACTGGTCTTCCAAGGTGCCGAGGAAAGCGGGGGTCTTGGGTTAGGACCTGACTTGATTGAAGCTGGAGGCATCCAAGGAGGGAAGGTTAGAACCAGGCTAGGATCAGGTACTGATCATCCAGGCAATACACAGAGGTTTCAGGGCAGCTTGTGGATAAGAGTTGGTGTTGTAGCTGTACAAGGATTAGTGGATGGGAAGAGCCTTGGGAGCTGGGCAAGTCAATGGTAAGAAGGGTGGGAGGGCTGAGCAGAGAGAGGCCTGTGGCAGTGCAGGGGCTCTTGGGGGACCTCAGAGAAACTGGTTGTCACTGGGGCATGGAGCTAGACTGTGGCCCCTCTTGAGGACCCAGATGCTCAAATGTATGCCCTCAACCCAACTCAGCCTAGTCTTTTGATGCCAGGTCAGCTGAAGCAGCTGTCTATCCTGAAGGTGGACCAGAACCGGTTGAGCGAGGTGACCGAGGCCATTGGGGACTGTGAGAACCTCTCTGAACTGATCCTCACAGAGAACCTGTTAACGGTAGGGCAGCCTGGAGGCCCTAGGCCCTGGAGGGTATGCAGAGTGCAGTCAGTGCTAGTGTAGCAGGAGCAGAGTACCTGCTGGCAGTGCTGCGTGCCGCTGGTGACTTGTCCCAGGAAACTGGTTGGGAGGGGCGCCCCTGGAGTCAGGAGAGAAAGCTCACTGACACATAAGATGGGCTAGGGCCTGTGGGCTAGGGTAGGACCCTGCCTGGTTATAGTAAAGAGTTCAGGCTCTGCTTTTCCAGACGTGTGGTATGATGCCGGGAACGATGCTGCCTTCCTATACACCTGCCCCACCGTAGCCAGGGAAAGTGGAGGCTGTAGGGCCAGAACGAGCAATGTCCATGGCAATGTTAGCCTCAGGCTAGAGAGACAGACTGGTCCGTAGGCATTGTCTGTGATGTTCCTACATGTAGGATGCCTGTGGTGATGGCAGTAGAGAAGAGGGTGCCCTAGAGATGAAGGGGCAGTAGGAGATGTGGGTAGGCATCTTGTACAGTGGAGGCGTCAGGTTCATGGCCTTGAGATTGAGCTGGCTGTCTACAAGGGCCTGAGATGGCATAGTCTGAGGTCTCATGTGGTCTGGCAAGGTGTTTGATAGCCTGGAGGGTGGGAAGAGACCTATATGCAAACTGGTCATATCCAGGTCCCTGGACTTGGTCTCTGACAGCTGTGGGGAACCTTGAACTGGCCATAGTCTCCCTCAGGAGAGACCTTTATCTTCCCAAGGGCTCTCTACCTCTTCCTCCTCCCCGAGGAGATTTCTACCTGCCTCAGATCCTTCCTTTTCCCGGCCAGGCCCTACCCCGCTCTCTGGGCAAGCTGACCAAACTGACTAACCTTAATGTGGACCGGAATCATCTTGAGGTGCTGCCACCTGAAATTGGAGGTTGTGTGGCCCTCAGTGTCCTCTCCTTAAGGGACAACCGCCTGGCTGTCCTACCCCCTGAGCTTGCTCATACAGCTGAGTTGCACGTGCTTGATGTGGCTGGGAACCGGTGAGTGTCTATGTGACCCCTCACCACAGTCTGAGGTTCTGGCTACATCCCCTGTGTGCTGACCATGCCAACCTGGCCCCCAGGCTACGGAGTCTGCCATTCGCACTAACCCACCTCAACCTCAAGGCACTATGGCTGGCTGAGAATCAGGCACAACCCATGCTCCGCTTCCAGACCGAGGATGATGCCCAGACCGGCGAGAAGGTGCTTACCTGCTACTTGCTGCCCCAGCAGCCTCTGCCAAGCCTCGGTAAGTTGCTGATAGCTAGGTCTTGACTTGGGTAGGTGAGACCTTGGGGGATGTAGAGGGACCAGTTCGGGCCCCTGACTCTCGCCTCCTACAGAGAACCCTGGGCATCAGAGCAGCCCCTCAGAGAGCTGTAGTGATGCACCTCTGAGCCGTGTCAGTGTCATCCAGTTCCTGGAGGCCCCTGAAGGCGACGAGGATGCTGAGGAAGCTGCGGCTGAGAAGCGGGTATGGAGGGGTGGGGACCCTGGGCGGTGTACCTCCATCCCACCCTGCCTGACCCCTTCCCTGCCTCTGTCCCTCATCCCTGTCCCCACTGCAGGGCCTGCAACGACGGGCCACGCCTCACCCCAGTGAGCTCAAGGTGATGAAGAGGGGCATCGAGGAGCGCCGGAGTGAGGCCTACACCTGCAAGCCTGACCCCAGCCTACCCTCACCCTCAGAGGAGGTAGGCATGAAGGACGGGGAGCCTTAGATTTCTACCCATCCTGGGAGTGGAACTGTGAGGGCAGAGGCCACGTAAGGAGGGGACTGGAGACAAACTGGTGAATGGGGCTGGGGCCAGGGGCAGGCAATAACTAGGTTGTACTGGGCAGAGGGTGCAGGTAGACAGGGCTCATGCAGAATAAGGCAGAACCAGGGGTGTTCTCTCCCAGGGCCAAGTGTTCCCTGGTGACACAGGATGGAGGTTGGCCAGGGGTGGGGCCAAAGGAGGGCTCTGTGACCTTCATTCTCCAATCTTTCTTGGGTAGGAGTTTGGTACTAGAGTATGGGCAGATCTGCTTGCTTATTACAAAACTTGTGATGTCAGAGCTGGGTGGTGTTTCCAGGGCTCTGGGTACAGTAGCTGGGAAGACAGGGCAGATGCCTTCCTGGGAACTTCTGTGGTCCTGGTACTCCTGAGGAGTTTGGGGGAAGGCTTTCTAAGAACTAAGCAATAAAACCATGGCTTTGAACGGCTCTGGAAGCAATGGGGCTGCCCTGGGCTGGGGCGGGGAGTGACTACCAGAAGTGAGCCTGCTAGAGATGCTGTAGCCAGAGTAGCAGAAAGCCTAGCAGAGGTCTGCCACAAGGGCATGGCCTCGGGGTAACAAACTCACAAGGAGCCTGACACCATTACTTGCTGCAGGAGAAGAGACTGAGTGTAGAGTCCGGCTTGAGTGGAGGCTCTGTCCCATCAGCAAGCACAGCCTCTGAGGTTGAGCCTGAGATCCTGCTGGCTGAGGCACAAGGACTAGGCCAGCAAGAAGTCACAGCTGGACAGGAGGAAGACACAGAGGAGGACTATGATGAGGTAAGGACAAATGGCAAAGGAAGAAGCCAGGCCTGGGTGGCCACGAGGCCAGAAGCAGAGCTTTCTGCAGTGGAGCTCCCTCCTGTCCTTTCTGATCAGACGTGTGGTTGGGGCCATGCCAGACGCTGGCTGGGCAACAACAGGATAGAGAGCCAGGGGCTTTCTCCAGCAGAGCTCATGCAAGGTGTGGGTAAAGTCATGGTCCTTGGGGTGCCTGGGAGAGATGGTGCCCCAGGATGGGATAACGACCACTTCATAGCCAAGCTCAGCAGGGTTAGGTTTATCATGCTTTCCTTAGATGATAACCCCCTTTCCTGGGTTCTCTGGCTAGGTCTCTGTATGTTCTGACATTTCCACTTGGTTACCATGCGTGTCCAGGAAGAGCCCTGTCCCCTGGTCTTAGCTGAGTTTGCCAAGTGCCGTTCCCTGTACAGCAGAGAGCTGCTCAGCCTCAGGCTGTTACCCGCAGGCTCCACCACCCAGCCCCATAGCTGGGCCCTGGAAAGACGGAGCTGGGCTCTGGCTGCCACTCATCTTTCTGCCCACTCAGCCCACAGTGCACTTCGCAGAGGACATGTTAATACCCAGGGAAGAAGGTGAGAGCGAAGAGGGGCAGCCTGAGGCCCCCTGGCCACTTCCTAGTGGCCGGCAGAGGCTCATCCGCAAGGACACACCCCACTACAAGAAGCACTTCAAGATTTCCAAGCTCCCCCAACCAGAAGCTGTTGTGGCCCTGCTGCAAGGAGTGCAGCCAGACAGGGAGGGCCCCCCGGGTCCTGGGGGCTGGCACAATGGCCCCCACACGCCCTGGGCTCCTCGTGCTCAGGAGGAAGAAGAGGAAGAGGAAGAAGAGGACGGGGTTGAGGAAGAAGGCGAGGCCACCACAGAGGAAGAAGATAAAGAAGAGGCCGTGGCCTCTGCTCCCTCTGTCAAGGTGAGTCTCACGTCTGACTCAGGCTCCTCTGGCCCAGCAGAGTGTTCTGGACCCCAAGAGATAACAGTATGGAGGATAGCCAACCTTTCTCTGACAGCCACACAAGTCAGGCCTTGGTCCAGTGAGTCCTTTGGCCTTCAGGAAAAGAGAGATGGGTGTGTCTGCTGTACTTGGCATTCTTTGTCGCCTTGGGCTCCTCACTTAGTCCCAGGGAGTCCCTGGCATTGACAGCTGCCTGGGGCAGGTCTCTCTGGTGGGCCTTGAAAGGCTGAGAGCTCTTGGAAGCTGAGGGCCCCTGTGCACCCTTAGGAAATATGTGTAGGAGTTCTGGGCAGGATCTTCCCCAGGAGGTGCTGGCTGTCCCAGAATCCTTCCTGCGTCAGGCAATAACTAGCCTGGAGGCCTCTCTGCTGGTCTATGGACTGTCCTGTGGTCTGGCGGTAGCTCTTGTGCTTTGTCAGACCCTCGTTGGGTCCAGGCAAAGCTATAAGGCACTGGCATCCCTTTCTGATCCCCACATTTGCTTTTGCTGGCTCATAAAGGGGCCTGCCCTCACACTGGGTACTTTTCCATTTCAGAGAAAGCCACAGCTACCACAGAAAGTTTGATTTTTTTTTTTTTTTTTTTTTTTATAGTAATGTGTTTTTTTTAAAAAAAAAAAAAAGCTCCAAAAGAAACCGGAAATTTTGCAAAA